CTTCTGGCGAGGTGGCACCGGCGGAAGGGCGGCGGCGGGGGCACCGGGGTGGTGGCGCTGAGGACGAAATCGGGCTCGAACCCGATCCAACTGAGAGGAGGGGAGCGAGAGGAAGACGTGGGGGAGTGGGACGATTCGTCTAGATATATTCGGTGCTTGGGGGGGATAAGGGAGAGGGAGAAGTGGGCCGACCAGGGTGGTGGCCTGGTGGGCCGAGGCCGTCCGACCAAGTTGGGCCACGGCCCAGTGGGGGCGGGTTGCCTGCTTTTTATTTTTGTTGTTTTGTTTTGTTTTCTTTTTCTTTTTTAATCCTTAATTGCTCTAGTTTAAACAAAACACAATAAGATTCTCTAAATTAGCGTTACTAAACATTCCACTTCCACAAATAACTTGGCACATTAATCAAAGTAGTTTGTATTTGTTTATTAATTTAAGAGCATTTAAATAATAGTTTTGCCACTGTTTTATTTATTTTAATGCATTTAACTACTTTATAAAAGTGTGAATTCTTCACCATAATTTTCTTATGCACTATTTGGCCCACTCCGAACATTTTAGATTTTATATTTGAAAACCTGTATTGTTTGCTTGATTGTGATTTTGAATTTGAACCAGTTTCGAACTAACGCAAGATTAGCAACAGTAATCAAGATGACGTGGCATCATTAATAAAAGTTTACTGTAGTCTAATTATCCGGGCGTCACAGTGCGCGAGGACGCCGCTGAGCGTGCGGCCCGGGACGCCCCACCACAGGCGGCGGCCCTCGCTGTTATTGCGGACGCGCGGCGTCGGCGCGTTGTTGGTGGAGGTGAGCCGCTCCTCCTGCCGGCGTTTGAAGTACGCCGCCCACACCGCGTGGTTGCCGGTGGCGTAATCCGGGAGCGCCCGCTCCGCGACCGCCAGGGACGCCCGCGCACGCTCGATCTCGGCGTGGAAATAGGCGGGCGTCTCGAGGACCGGCAGAGGAGGGACAGGGACCCCGCCGACGCCGAGCCTCCACCGCGACGGAGCGCGTACGTCGGGCGGCGCGGGGTAGTTGGTCTCGTGGAGGAGGTAGGCCTCCCACTCATGCAGCGAGCGGCGGCCGAAACCGTTGGCCGCTGCCGCGTTTCCGGGGTACCTCGCGCTCATGGTTGCCGGGGAGGAAAGAGAGGGGCTCGAACGGCCGAGAGAGGGAAGGAAGTGCGGCGATGAGGAGGGGGAGGACTGCCGATGCCGATGGATGGGTGCCTCACCGGCGCGGCCAGGGGTGCCTTTTATAGCGGCTCAGGGGCGGCCACGTGCGAAAGCATGGCGGAAGGCGGGGCGGCGTCGCCGCACTTCGCCGCCCGTGAATCAATGGCAGGCTGACCGGCGGCAGCCTTGGCATTGATTCCTCGCGGGAAAACCGAGACGATGAGGACGACCAGCCTTCGTCTCGCTGACGCGCCGGTCCCGCCACTCTTTCGCGCCAAAACATTCGCGCCGGCGCCCCGCAGCGCGCCGGGTTTGGGTTGGGTGCGCCAGCGTCAATTTCGGTTCAATCCGGCAAAAAACAGGTTCTTGAAGACGTGACTGGGTCGATTTTTCAATGCCGGCGCTAAAAAACGGCTTTGAGGGGGTCTGTTGGGGGCGCAGCTGGACATGCGCTTAGAGTCTAGAGTAAAATAAAGCTTTCTCAAGACGTCTGGTTCTAGGCTGTTGGATTAAAAGGCCCATGAATTCACGTGGCCCAGTCCGCTTCCGCGTAAAAAAGTGAGCGAGCGAGCGGCGACCGGGCGAGCGCTCGGCCGGTCGTCCGCAGGGAAACGTTTCCCTATCCTAATACACAACTGCCTCATCAACGTATCCGCACGTTACACTGTCGCCAGTCGTCCATGCTTTTCTACCCTGCGTAGATTTGGTATCCAGTGTAGCCAAAAAGAGTCGTTGCAGAACAATAAAACCCATTTAACCGCGGTAGAAAATCCCCGCGACATTTCAAAATCCAGGCCCCGATTTACCATGTCGTTCTCATTCAATGCCAAGAGGATCATCATGGGGCACTCTGACAGGCATCCCATGCCGAATTTAAAACACGCATTTACTTTGCCCACCCCACCAGTATCCCAGTCTCACCCGCAGCCCCAACCCGCCCCCTCACCCCTCTCCCTGACGCCCCGACCGGCCCCCCGCGGCCCCACCCGACAGCCACACGGAGAAAAGCAGCCCATCGGTGCCCCCAAAGTCCCAACCCCGCAGCCAGCCGCGGTCGCTGTCGCCACCCCCTGCCCCCGGATCCCACCACCGGTTTCGTGCCGCGGTTGCCCACATCACACCACACCACACCACGCACGGCCGCTTCCCTCCCTCCCCCCTCTGAGCTCGCTCGGGTGCGTACCGCCGTACCCAACCGGGGAGATTTCGGGGGCCATCCAGGGGCGGAAGGGTCATTTCCCCTGCCCCCATTAATCAAGTCCACACGAGCCGCAGCCTCACGCCCCACGCCGCCTTCGCTAGCGGACGAGCCCGCCCTCCCCAAACTGCCCCTCGCACCGTCGCCTCCAAAACCACCTCCGGCTTCCTCCTCACTCAGGCCCCTCCGCTCAGCCCCGCACCGCGCCGATGGCCGATTCGCCGAACCCTAGCTCCGGGGACCTCCCCTCGCCCGCCGGGAGCTCGCCCGACAAGCCGTACCCCGCGGATCGACGCGTCGCGGCGCTCGCCGGCGCGGGCGCGAGGTACAAGGCCATGTCCCCCGCGCGGCTGCCGATCTCGCGCGAGCCCTGCCTCACCATCCCCGCCGGCTTCAGCCCCTCCGCCCTCCTCGACTCCCCCGTGCTCCTCACCAACTTCAAGGTGACTGCCGCCTCCCTGTACTGTACCTCTCGCCTCTCGCCTGCTGTTACTACTTGTTACCGCGGGATCTGCGGGCCGTACGGCGTCCGTGTCATGCTGAGGTCAATTTGAGCTGGGGAAAAGGAGGGATTCCGATGCGCATTAGCTCCGCGCTCTAGTTTATGAGACAATTGCGCCGGGGAATTAATTGGCTCGTGGCCTCGGAATAACGCGCTTTCCCTGTGCGCTTTCGCATTTCCGGCCATGCCATGAAGCTTCTGGAACTTCCTTTTCTGCGGGGGTTCTTCGTGATATGTTTGTTTTCCCCCCGCTTCTTCTTTTGGAGCGTCCCCGCGCCGTCTACTTGCTGTGGAGTGAGGGGGATGCTGTTGCTTGTGCGTCTGCAGGGAATTATTCTGTTAGTTATGCACACACTTGGTGGCTACGAGAACAAATCATCATTTGACATTCCTTCTACGGGGGCTCTGTAGGGCCTTATTTAAGGAAACGCCCCCTCGGCCCTGGCCGGTTATACTGGTGGTGTGCTAAGAGATGGTGCTCGTTCATAAGGACATCACCAAGTAATTGTGTTCGGGTTGACCGTTTGGTTGTTATTCTTCCTCGGGATTGGTTGTAGAAGTGGTATTTGTTTTCCTGAGTCCTCTTGCTGGCAGCGTACAAACTGAAATGGCCCTTGCTTGCTGGGCCTAGTCACTTGCTTGCAGCATCATTGTTGCTTTCTTTGTCTTGCTCTGTTATTCTTGCCGGCCTTCTTCTTCATGTTTCCTCTTTCAAGCATAGGAGAAAATGATTGGCAAACTTGTTACTTTTAAAGAAAAATATTTATTAAGGTGGCATTTATTTCAGAGGGCGAGGTACTTCATATATGCAATCTGCAGGCTATAGTAAAGAAAAATATTTATTAAGGTGACATTTATTTCAGAGGGCGATGTACTTCATATATGCAATTTGCAGGCTGTAGTGTTGTTGTACTTCCTATTTTGCGTTCACAAGTATTCAGAGGTCTTAAAGCGTGGTGGACACTGAAAATAGTTAACAAAAATTTCTTTCAGGTTGAACCTTCACCAACAACTGGTAGTCTGAGCATGGCTGCAATTATGCACAAGAGTGCTCATCCAGACATGCCTTCGCCACGGGATAAGTCCATTCGAGCCCATGAAGATGGGGGTTCTAGGGATTTTGAATTCAAGCCTCATCTGAATTCGTCTTCTCAATCAGTGGTACACAACCTTTAATTTTCTTTTCTCTGTGTCCCATAGAGATTAATGTACTTTATCTTGCAGAACATCAAAAGAAAATTTAAGCATTTTGTTTCTATACGACCCCACAAATATATCTGGCCTTTATTGTGCATATTATAACCATAATTCGGCTAGGTTCTTGAATTGTTGCATAATTCATAATCTTGCCTATCATTTGTAAATGCATGTACGAACTTACCTATTTTATTCTGATCTTCTTTGGAGGGTAGGAAGGTAACACTATCCCAGATGCATGGCAAATCTCAGTATAGAACTCATTAACTCAATATCCATATGTAACATTACTTCTTTCACATGTAGCGGAGAAGTTTCTTTATAAATAGTAGAGTTTGAAAAAAGCACTTTGAATGACAGTTTGGGGAAAAACTATGGTACATATGTAGTTAGATCTATCTGTGCTTGCTATGTTAGTCACATTCTTTCTTAATTCCTGTTGACTTGTTTTTGCATATTTTGTTTTGCATCGTGTAACATTTGTAATGCTCATATTTTGTACTGCAGGCTCCTGCTATGAGTGATCTAAAAAAACACGAGCATTCTATGCAAAATCAGAGTATGAATCCCAGCTCATCATCTAGCAATATGGTGAATGAAAACAGACCTCCCTGTTCACGCGAGTCAAGTCTTACAGTGAATGTAAGTGCTCCGAACCAACCTGTTGGAATGGTTGGTTTGACTGACAGCATGCCTGCTGAAGTTGGTACTTCTGAGCCGCAGCAGATGAATAGTTCTGACAATGCCATGCAAGAGCCGCAGTCTGAAAATGTTGCTGACAAGTCAGCAGATGATGGCTACAACTGGCGCAAATATGGGCAGAAGCATGTCAAGGGAAGTGAAAACCCTAGAAGTTATTACAAGTGCACACATCCTAATTGTGAAGTAAAAAAGCTATTGGAGCGTGCGGTTGATGGTCTGATCACGGAAGTTGTCTATAAGGGGCGCCATAATCATCCTAAGCCCCAGCCTAATAGGAGGTTAGCTGGTGGTGCAGTTCCTTTGAACCAGGGTGAAGAACGATATGATGGTGCGGCAGCTGCTGATGGTGAGATGTTTGTCATGATTTCTTGGAAATACTGCATCAGGTCCCTATAGTTTGGAGCTTGGCATCCTGCATTCTTGTATCTAGCATGGAAGTAAAAATGTATCGACATCTATGGTTGAATTTTAGGATCCCATTGCTGCTTTTCCCTCCTCTCGAGTAGCTTCCTATTTTTTATGAACTTAATATAGTTGTAGTAAAAACCATCAGTTCAAAATTGTAAAATTCTTGGAAATGAATCCCTTGAAGTTACAAAACTCAAATTTAATTCTCACTCCAATCTATATTAATTGTCGCTGATTTAGTACATATGAGTTTCCCTGAGTTGAACGTGGGCATCACAATAGATATATATTGACCAGTCCGTACACAAAAAGAGAGCTTGTGGTAGAAGTGCTTTAATTTTCTTGTAGTCATTGTTTTCTCGCTATCTCAGACTTCTATCTTTTTTGCAGATAAATCTTCCAATGCTCTTAGCAACCTTGCTAATGCGGTAAATTCGCCTGGCATGGTTGAGCCTGTTCCAGTTTCAGTTAGTGATGATGACATAGATGCTGGAGGTGGAAGATCCTACCCTGGGGATGATGGTACTGAGGAGGAGGATTTAGAGTCAAAACGCAGGTATGCTTGGTTTGAACTTGGTAAATTTACACTTCAAAGAATCATTCCTGTCAAGTGACAAGTGCTAATCTTCTTGTCTACAACTATCAAATATGAAAACAGGAAAATGGAGTCTGCTGGTATTGATGCTGCTCTGATGGGTAAACCTAACCGTGAGCCCCGTGTTGTCGTTCAAACTGTAAGTGAGGTTGACATCTTGGATGATGGGTATCGTTGGCGGAAATATGGACAGAAAGTTGTCAAAGGAAACCCCAATCCACGGTAAGTATTTATTTTCTTCATTAGTTGCTTTTTATCCTTTTATTGTCTGGCTCTTGAGAAGATTGTCATTGTAATGGTAAATATCTATTCTGGCTAAGAACTTTTTGCACTTTGTATTTTGCGACATGTCTATGCATAATTGTATTTTATATGCTTTCTCAGTCACGTGTCATGCATGTGTTGAGTTTTATCCCTAACATAAGAGAGCCTGTGATTAAGATGATACTGGTTAAATGTAATATCTTTCAATCATAAATTTGTTGTAGAAGGCTGATAGAAATGAAATAAAATGGCCATTGAACAAGTATTCTACTTCACACCTATGCTCAAGGTTTTATATGAATGAATAAGTGGACATCTGGTGAAGACATGTGGTAGATGAAGATGAAATATATGTTACTTCACCTTTATCACTGATTCACTGTTGGTGATCACATGCGGATATGGAAGAATTCCTATTCCGTACTACAATCAGCACATGTGTCTTGAAGGCCGCTCAAAGCTAGACCGCGTTTAGTCCGTCATATAGTTTTTACCATCCAGTTCTACCCCCTCCGTTCCAAAATACTTGTCGTGGCTTTAGTTCAAAATTGAACTAAAACCACGAGAAGTATTTTGGAACGGAGGGTGTATTATTTATGTGGGCTGGTACAGAGGTCCATTAGTTTTGTTATATGATGAGTTTTCCCCCTTCTGGTGAAGATCACATTTAAAGGCAGATATGCTATTGAGAATCATATAACATATGATATTGAGAATCGTATAACATATAATGCAAAACAAAAACACACGCACTTCATTTGTGTCATGGCACATGATTATATTGATGTATCATGTATGTATGCGTGTATACGATGAGCCCTGCAACACTATAGTTAGCAGAGATAATAAAACTAGAAAGCAATGCTCCACTCTTAAATTATACTACCTCTGTAACTAAATATAAGACGTTGAACTGGAAAAACGTCTTATATTTAGTTACAGAGGTAGTACTATATAAAATATTATCCCTAAGCATACAAAGTGAAGACAATTGATTGGCTGGTGTATGTCTGTTTTAGTAAGGGTGATATTTGGCCCCAAGTCCATGTGTGCAGCCAGTTTATTTATGCATGGGGTGCAAGGCTTTAGAATAGTCCTTTGCAGTTTGAGTTGCTAGCTAGTCAAAGACGCCCTTTTCATGAGGGAGAAAAGACTAGCTACATAAATGTTTGGTTTGAAGCTAATGGTTGCGTAAGAATTGCTAGTGTTGAAAATGTATTTGTCATGCATTTGCTTTGCTGCCTAAGTTTTGACTTCAACTCCTGGTTCTTTTTTGGCCAAATATTCACGGGCATGACCAGAATTTTCGCAAACATTAGCAGTGGAAACTTTGACAACCAAACAGATTATACTGGTGTGCTTGCATGTATTTGTATGCCATGGCCTTTCACTACTCCTTCCGATCTGAATTAACTGACGCGGCCTCGGAGGGAGTACTTCATTTTATAGAGGCTGCATCAATTAATTTGGATCGGAGGGAGTACTTCATTTTTAAGTATGTTAAAATGGCAATGTTGTACGGATACACTGTGCCATATGAAATGCTATTCCCATGTATACCAAAGGGAGGCATTTAATTTGTAGTCCAGTCTTTTTAGCCCCTCGAGGGCTATATCCACCCATGCATCACCGTCCGATAGATGTGTTGTGATCTATATGGCCATTGTGCTTGCAGATTGCTTTAACTTCGCGCATTTATTTATAGTTTGCTAATGAACACACCAATGGGATGTCGTACAGTTTACATGTCAGATCGGAGTCAACGCATCATCAACTTTCCCTGCACCTCCTCCAAGAGGCAAATGAATTCATGGTCTGGGAAAACTTTTGCACTAATTGACAAACAATTTTCTTGTCTAATAAATTATTCTGTTTGGATTACATGCCCAACTGTCCCAAAACGTAAGCAGAATTAGAGTTTGCATTAATTGGTTGGGTCGTGCTGATCACACACGGAAACAAAGTGTAAGAGGTACCCATAATGCAGGTCCGAACTCCAAAAAGCTCACCTTGTAACATACTTGATCAAATGCAAATGATGCCACAACTCCCACTTATTCCAATAAAAGAATGTGGCTCAACAAGGATTCCTACAAGCGTAGATCTTTCACGAAGGATGGATGTTCTATATATACTAATAAAAAAGGGGCAACCTGGTGCATGTAGCTCCCGCTTGCGCAGGGTCCAGGGAAGGGTCCGACCACTTTGGGTCTATAGTACGCAGCCTTTCCCTACATTTCTGTAAGAGGCTGTTTCCAGGACTTGAACCCATGACCTCATGGTCACAAGGCAGCAGCTTTACCACTGCGCCAAGGCTCCCCTTCTATTTTATTTATACTAATATACTTTTTTATTCTATTTTATTTATCTTATAAATTGGAGTTAGTGGTGATCGTGGTGAGTTCACTCCCACCGCTCCAGCCCAATTTCTCTCATCCATCCAGGACCCACCAGGAAAGAAGGAAAATGATAAACAAAACAGTAATATAATGCAATTATGGACCCCAGACCTGCTGCTAAACATAGCTCAGTCAAACCAGCAAGCCACTGCCTTACTAATATTTTTTGAATGAGAAAATACTTTACAAGTGCACGAGCGTACACTTCTTTTTCCACTGCAACACAAGCCAGCCAGTCGCTGGCTGGCGCTCCCTCCTTCCCAATCCATGTCCTCCAGCCTCCCAGTATCCATTTATAGTTATGGTGTATTACCTTTTATGGTGTTATGCTTAGCAAGTGCATTGGTTGTTGTATACTGCTACTAATCTAATACTCCCTCTGCGGAGTGATCTAAACGCTCTATATTTCTTTAGAGGGAGTACAACTGTAATCATTTTTGTGGTTGCGTAATAACACACCGACATTATGCTAGTCCTTATAACAAATAAGATGGGATCATTCGAATGCATGTCTTCTTAAAAACAAAGCTATGAGCATTAAATGTTCCGGCCTTTTTCTTTTAGGACAGCTAGGCAGCAAATTTTCCACTCCCTCCGTCCCGAAATGTAAGACGTTTTCGATACTATGATAGTGTCAAAAAGCGTCTTACATTTTGGGACAGAGGGAGTAGTAAAAAAAGCAGTTCAACCACTGGTTAATCACACTGCTACACTCATTCAACCTGACCACACGCTGGCAGCACCAAGTAATAATGAACCATAACATACAGCACCAAGTAATAATGAGCCACATGAGCATGCATTTTTTTGGATGATAATATGTGAGTCAGGCTTTTAAGGGCTTGATTGATTCTGGTGATTGATGTTACGAAAAGTCAACCACATGGATCGCACCGCGACCTAAATTTGTATCACCTTGTGAATGGATTTATATGTAGCTAGTAGCTACTCAGTTTGTTATGTGAGCCATTGCACTCTTATATATTTTCTGTTCTTGACTGCAGGAGTTACTACAAATGCACAAGCACAGGATGCCCTGTGAGGAAGCATGTTGAGAGAGCATCGCATGATCCTAAATCAGTGATAACAACGTATGAAGGAAAACATAACCATGAAGTCCCTGCTGCGAGGAATGCAATCCATGAGATGTCCGCGCCTCCCATGAAGAATGTCGTGCATCAGATTAACAGCAATATGCCCAGCAGCATTGGCGGCATGATGCGAGCATGTGAAGTCAGGAACTTCAGCAACCAATATTCTCAAGCCGCTGAAACCGACAATGTCAGTCTTGACCTTGGTGTTGGGATCAGCCCGAACCACAGCGACGCCACAAACCAAATGCAGTCTACAGGTCCTGATCAGATGCAGTATCAAATGCAACCGATGGCTTCGATGTATAGCAACATGAGACATCCATCAATGGCAATGCCAACGGTACAAGGGAACTCTGCTGGCCGCATGTATGGTTCCAGAGAAGATAAAGGTAGCGAAGGGTTTACTTTCAGAGCCACACCGATGGACCATTCAGCTAACCTATGCTATAGCGGTGCTGGGAACTTGGTCATGGGTCCATGAGTGGAATGATGAGAGTGTCTGCAAATGCTTATAGCTCCATGAATCATATATTACAAACAATGCTTTTGTAACGACAATCTCTTCAGCAAGATTCTTAATTGTGTATCGGTTACAAGTCAGTTCCAGCCGGAGGCAAGTAAGCTATAAGCTATACCTGGGGGACTGCAGCAAATGCGCATGTGTCTTTTTAAGTGCGGAAAAGGCCCCTGCTGTATGTAGCGCTGCAGCCCTACATTCGTTGTACAGCGAACCTAATATGATTAGTTAATTAGATTATGAGAATTTGGTTTTGTGAACTGTCTTATCTTCTGTACTGGAATATTGACAGAAATATAGATCCATCGTAATTTTCTTTTACCGTTAAGACAACTGTTATTTATGGATGCTTGTACAGCAATCATTTTTGATTGGGTTTAGGTTTACTTTGTGCTACTCAATTACAAGTTCCAACCCTACTCCAAAAAGGGCATGAACAACCAGAAGTGCATCAAGAAGCATGGGTGGTCGAAACCTCCTGAGAGTTATGTTAAATTGAATATTGTTGCTGCCTTGAGCCTTCAGGAGGAGATTGGTGCTACTGGAGTACTGATCAGAGATGATCGTGGGCATTTTGTTTTGCGGCGAGTAACAGTAGAATAGATCATGTAAACTCGGCACCTACTGCAAAAGCTAGAACTTTCATGGATGGTCTAATCCTTGCAGGACAGGTTGGATGCGAGAATATCATAATTAACTCGGACTGTATGGAAGTGGTTTAGTCTATGCATGATGGTGGCTATTCAACAACCAAAGCTTCGGCAATTTACGAAGAGTGTGTGCTCTTAGCGAGGAATTTTTCTCGACGGGAGATCCTCCGACTTTTGTTTTGTATATCTAGCCTGGTGGATGATGTTACCATGTTCGAAAATTAATAAAATTGTCGTGATGGCTTTCCCTCAAAAAAGAAAAAAAGATCTCCAAAGGCACCAACACCCATCATCTCAAATCATTTTAGTTACTTGGCAGTGCTGATTGAGACTTACTTACATGCAATTACATTAAGATTAGACGTCTGAAACTGAAACATATACTGTAGCCCTCGAACTTGTACCACTACTACATCTCATCAGCCTCTTATCCAGGCCTAGACCTAAGTTCGGCGTTACAACAGCAGGTTACCTGGGAGCTATTCTTCTCCACAGCAGCAGCAGCAGCATCCTAGAGTCCAACAAAGCATGCATCTAGATTCGCCTACGAGCAGCGAGGTCACAAAAGCAGTCACACCACAGCACTAGTGCCATGCGGAGGAGACGACGAGGGGCTTGCTCTTCCAGCCGAGGTAGAGCGCGCCGTCCCTCTCGGCGAGCTTGTAGTTCTCCGAGTAGCTCTGCAGCAGCGTGCTGATGGTGGCGTTCACCAGCGCGCTGAGCGGCGACGGCCTGAAGCCGGCCATGGTGAGGCGCGCCTTCCACTTGCCGAACACCTCGTGCCGCTCCACCCGCTCCGCGCCCTCGCACGCGATCAGGTTCACCACCTCCCGCGCCAGGCAGTGCTGCTCCATGTTCACCCGCTCCCTGTCGTCCCTCGGCAGCGTCAGGTCGATGGACTCGAAGATGGCCGCGTAGTAGTCGAGCGTCTCCGCGAACCGCTGCGGGAACGGCGCCGTGTTGGTGTTGGACTCCTGCTCCACCAGCGTCAGCACCCTGGGCCGCAGCCCCTTCACCAGCCGCAGGATCCGGTCCCGGTGGTTCGCCGTGCTCACCGTCTCGTCCGGGATGTGGTGCAGCTCCAGCGTGAAGTTCACCGCCAGCGCCTCCCCGGGGACGAACCCGAGGTGCGCCTCCTCCACCTCCTCGCCGGCCATGGCCACCGAGTGGAACTCGAAGGGGACCTTGCAGAGCCCGGCGATGTGCGACAGCCTCCTCCCGACAAGGTCCAGCCCGCCGCCCCGCGCGTAGGCCGACACCGTGTCGTCGATGCCGGTGATCCTCACCGTCGGCGGCCCGCCGGGCCTGGCCGCGAGGGCCTGGAGGAGGGAGATCCACTGCGCTCCCTGGGCGATGTGGAAGTCGATAATGTGGATCCGGTCCTCCCCCTTGACGGCCTCCGCGATGGCGCCGTTGGCCGACATGTAGCCGAACTTGAAGTAGGGGCAGGCCTCGTAGAGGAAATGCATGTAGGAGAGCAGGTCGGAGCTCTTGGGCTCCTTGCACCTCAGGGCCTTGTAGATGGAGTGGCCGGAGGAGGCGAGCCTGGCCACCAGCCCTTCCACCATGTAGGCTCCCAGCCTCTCCAGCGGTGTGCCGGAGACCGAGACCATCTTCCTCAGCTCCGGCACCATCACATCCACCGCGTACATGTTCTTCTCCTCCACAGCTCTGGCGCAGGCGAGCAGCAGCTCCTTCAGGTCGCCCCTGGGGAAGTCCATCCTCTGCGCCCACTTCTCCGGCTCCAGCGACAGCTGCTTCGCGACGGAGCTCTCGAGGCTGTTCACTATCTCGGCGTCCGGCCCGAGCATTTCAGCCTCAAGGTCCTTGAGCTTCTGCTTCAGATCGTTGGGATCCTCGGTCGTCACAGTGACGCATGAAGCACTCACCGGAGACCCGTTGGTGGAGTCGGAGCGGCTGTCGTCGTGGGACGACGGGCTGCCGCTGCCGCTCCTGATGGACGGAGGAGTGAAGCTATGGCTGGACGGCGAGTCGTGCCTCATGCAGCCGGCTGCCGCCGAGGAGTCCAGAGTGTGCTTCATCTGAGCGACCTGGTTCTCATAGCTAGCGTCTGATGACGACTTGAGGCTGTAGAGGTGCTGTGGCACGACATGGGTGTCTGGAGATGGCTGGTAAGGGCGGCAGGGATGCTGTGGGTTGTCCGAGTACTGGAACTGGAACTGCTTCGGGTTCTGCCTCTGCATGTTGCTGAAGGGGTGGATCATCCGGGAGGTTGGAGTATCGGCCATACTTGTTCTGTGAAGGATCTGACGCACTATTCACTGCATGGATCTATCTTCTAGCCCAGAAATCCAGATGAAACGAGAAATCTGAAACAGGAGAGTAATAAGACTGTAAGAAGAAAAGCACACCGAGTTACTAACTCCAAAGGTAATACTGGTAGCCAAGCATACACTTCCAGTAACAGAGATAGAATTGGTGTATTGTATACATGGAATGGAAACACCATCTCAATCCCAGACACAGGAAATAATAACATACTGTATCTGAAAAAAGACATGTAAAAGTACAAGAGCCTAACAATCACAAGCGATCATACTTTTACTAGTGATGAAAAGTAATAGTACTAGCACTACAAGATGGCATACAAGGCATATATAAATAGATGATCAAGTTAGTCTGAAGAAAACACTTTGAGTAGTACAGAACCAACACAAACAACCAGTAGGCATCCTACAGTTAACAAGAAGCAAGTGAAGGGAGGAGCATGGTGCTGACCGAAGAAGATCGTCACGATTACATCGCCAAGACTCCCAGTCCGGGCAAAGAAAAAACAGCCGTAGTACTACTAAAGTGGGAGTATGACCTGAGCGCGCGCAAACAAAAGAGGGGCCTGTAGACGACTACAACGGGTCGTAAAGTAATCCCCACCTCATCATAATTTTCCTGCAGTGCACCAAACCGGCAGCAGTTTGACCCGCCCGTCGGCACAACCAAACCAACCACACCCCCTTTCCCGTCCCGGCGCAGGGACAGGATTAATCAACTGACATCCACTGAAATAAATATACACAAGATCGCACGGGTCAATGGTCAAAAGCCCCTGGATCTGCTTGTTTTGGCGGGCGCAAATCGAGAGGTCTAATCTATCACCAACCTCCATTTGACGCGGTCTGAGGAAATTCTCCGTAGCTCGCAAGCTTGGTCATGGCCTAGTAGGCTGGCTAGTACCGAGGCCGTACGGGTGGTGTGGTGTGCGGCTGCGACGACTAGGCTTGCAAGCAAAATACGCCGACTGTCGCACAAAAAGTACTAGCCAAAAACAAAAACAAAAAACTACGGAAGCAGCTTCTTCCTCGCTTGAGCGACTGCCAATCTCACGAGAAAACTAACGAACTGGGCATGGATTCATGGGAGAAAACCACTGGCCGCGACCAAACATCAAGGGCCCCCTAGCTAACCGTGACCCGGAACGAGCAAGGGCAGGCCATGGCCTAGCCTAGCATCCGCCTTCATTTTGTTCAAGCGCTCATGAAGCTCAAAACTGGCCTAGCTTCCTTCGTAGCTGCTACAGAGAAGGCAGGCGAGAGGGGAGGAACGAGGAAGGGAAGTACCTCTACCCGGGTAGCTCCGGCCGGTGGCTCTCGGTCGAACCCTTGAGCTGAAGTCGGGGGGAGGAGGATTCGTGCGGCGATGGTGAAGAGCTAGCGCCGGGAGAAGAGAGAAGAGAGATCGCGAAGGGAGGGAGAGGGGAAGAGAAAGAGGAGACGAGAGGAGGTGGGCGTTGGTGGCTCTGGTGCTGTGGTTGTGGGGGGAGTGCGATGTTGTTTCCTGTAGGGGGGTCTGGGCTGAGCTAGTGGATGCTCCGGGTGGCCGTTGCTATTTCTACCCCGGGGCCGCGCGGGGACGCGTCGTCCGCGGTTTGTGCCGTCGTGAGGCGTGACGCGCGGGCGGGGTCGGGGTCGGGGGGCGTTCAGACCGCGCCTGCGTGCGTGGCGCGCACCGGGCACGGGGATGGATCAAATATCTCAGCACTGCCCCCCACGCGAGTCGCGACCAACCTCGCGCTCGTGCGTCGTGCATCGAATACTTGACGCGCTACGCGGCTGGACTGCGGACTGGATGGAGGTTGGACCGTGAGACTCCACGAGGCTCCACTCCAGCGCCAGGTATTTGCTTGCTCGGGAGTCGAGATAACTGTGCTGTGCGTGATGCGCCGGGATGACGACGACGGTATACTTGTCGTAGCAACTGTCGCCGTCGTCGTGCAAGGAGAGATCATCACGTGCTGCTGGGACTAGACGATGCTTCGTCAAGGTGTATTTTCGATAGATATTTTTCGCTTCGTGCCATCAAATTGCCAGCTGACACTCGCCAAAAGGTGAGCTAAACAACGGGCTGATGAACAGCGGCCTGCTCCCAACACGCCTCCGTCGCCTTCCTGCCACTTTTCACCGTGTCTCCTTGGTCTCAACACACGTATGTGTCGTATGCTATGTCGGTGTTGAACACGAACTGAAAGTTCAGAAACAAGCGAAGCGAGCTCATGGTTTTGAGGAGCTCTCTTTCTATGTCTGCCACACACGCGGAGCATCTCCAATCCGTTCCGTCAAACAAGATTTTACGCATGCTTATCCTGGCTTTTCCACCACATGACCAGCACGTACTAGATATTCCGCGTCTACACAGATATGAAAAGGCCGGGGGGTCCTAGTCACGCTGCGGTTTGCATCATTTCCTCTTTCAGTGGCATCATTTCTCATGTCTGTCCCCGGGAAATTATCATCCACGTACCGCCTTTCTCGCTTTTGACAACCCATCCTTTGGCGTCCAGCGACCTTTTCCTTCCCTTTTAACTCCAAGATCGCATGGTGGGTCCATGTGCGCCACGCCCAAGCTTAGCTGCGGCTGATACTTCTAACATGATAACGCCACTGCCGTTATCGTAGACATGAGTGCTCGGTATCTTTTCTGATGTGTCGGCTGTCGCGCTGCTGTTCCATCATATTATGAACGCCTTGTATGAATTGGTTGATTTCCAAGGGTCTACGTTCCTTCTTCGCTAGAGTGTACGCCTCCAGAATTGTGGATGGCATGCATGCGGTGACTAGGACTGATTGTGCAATCTTCACTCCTACGGGTACTTGTAGGAAAAGCAACGCTGCCGGAGTCATTGTGGATTGTATAATAGGAGTAGTATATTATTGAGATTATTGACATAGTACCAGACTTCTACTTTGGCACAAATGTCACACCTTGTGCCACTGACAAGCGGTCTCAGCCTCCACCTGTCGGTGGTACAAGCTGTATCACTCATCTCTCTAGTTACTAAGGGCATCTTCAACGTCGACCCTCAAATTTGCTCCGACATCTATCCGGACAGGGGATTAGTTCGCGGACACTTGTGCCAGAGGCCGTCATCCAACGATGCCGCATATATTTCAACAACTATTGAAACAAAACAGACGAAATTCATGCAAGCTGGGCAAACTTCAATAAAATTGGGAAGAGATTTATGCAAACAAAGTGGATTTTATATAAATTGAATGAAATTCATTACATTTTGGACATACTTCAACTAAAAGTGGAGCTCGTCCGAGTCCGGAGGTATAATTTCGGACATACTTCTGTTCTAAACCTAATCTATATGATCGACGGCGCTCGTTTCTCATGTCCGACCATGAGCCCCGAGAACTGAAGCTCTTGTGCTTGCCTTCGCTTTCTCCAGTTCCGCATCAGCGCTCTTCAGCTCTGCCTCCGCAGCCTCCGCCACCATAGCTTGAGTGAACGATTGTCGGCCTGCCAAGCTTGTCTTCAGGCGGAGGGGAAGAGCGGTGGCCTTCCTATGACCCGACCAGCGGCGACCTACCATGCACTACTCTTCCTCGCTGCTGACGGCGCCGGCGGACGTGCCGACTTCATGGTCGTGGCGGCGGGCGCGGCCTTGGCGGTGTCCTCGTCGTCGTCGGTCTTGCCCCGCACCGCGTCCGCCGCCTCGTCGAACTCCTTGTAGTCGGCTTCCAGTTTCGCCTGACGTTGGCAGTGCCGCCTGATGGTGTCCTGGATTAGGGGGTGCACACCACGTTGGCCTGCCGATCATGGGCTGGGCCGAGGACTCGTCCACAACTGAAGAATAGGCCACACATACCCTGGCCCTTGATACGTCTCCAACGTAATAATAATTTTTGATTGTTTCATGCTATTACATTATCAAATTTAGATACTTTATATGCAATTTTATATCATTTTTGGGAACTAACCTATTAACTCGGTGCCCAGTGTCAGTTCTTGTTTTCTGCATGTTTTTGTTTTTTCAGGAAATCAATACCAAACGAAATCCAAACACAATAAAACTTTACGATGATATTTTCAGGACCAGAAGGGACCCTAGGAGCCTCGGGAGGAGATCATGGGGGCTATGAGAGAGCCAGCTCACCAGGCGCCCCCCAAGGGGGTGCACCCTAAGCTTGTGGCACCCTCGTAGCTCTGTTTGCCCTAATTCCAACTCCATAAATTTCCGTAAATCTTGAAACCAATAGAGAGCCACCCGAAACACATTTTCCGCCGCCGCAAACTTCTGTTCTTCTGCGATCCCATCTGGAGGCCTTTTCCGGTACTCTGCCAAAGTGGGAATCGATCTCAGAGGGCTTATACATCAACCCTTGTTGCCCTTTAATGATGCGTGAGTAGTTTACCACAGACCTATGGGTCCATATCTAGTAGCTAGATGGCTTCTTTTCTCTCTTTGAACTTCAATACAAAGTTCTCCATGATCTCCATGGAGCTCTATCCAATGTAATCTTCTTTTGCGGTGTGTTTGTTGGGATCCAATGAATTGTGGGTTTATGATCAGATTATTCATTGAAAGTAATTGAGTCTTTGTTGTACTTTATTATGCATGATTGTCGTAGCTTTGTATTTCTATTCGAGCTATCCGTTTGGGTTGACCAATTAGATTGATTTATCTTCAGTGGGAGAGATGCTTTGTAATGGGCTCTCAATCTTGCGATGTCCTCACCTCGTGACAAAAGGGGTAGCGAGAAACGTATTTGTATTGTTGTCATTAAGGGTAAAACGACGAGGTTCATTCATACTGCTTGAGTTTATTCTGTCTACATTATGTCAACTTGCTTCATGCATTACTCCGTTTGTTATGAACTTAATATCATAGATGCATTCTGGATGGCGGTCGATTGGTGGAGTAATAGTAGTAGATGCAGAGTCGTTTCGGACTACTTGTCATGACGTAATGCCTATATGCATGATCATTGCCATGAATAACATCATA